GAGAGAGAGGGGTCTCTCCCCCTCTCTCTCTCTCCCCTCTCTCTCCCCTCTCTCTCCCCTCTCTCTCCCCTCTCTCCCCTCTCTCTCCCCCTTTTTTTTTTTTTTTTTTTTTTTTTTTTTTTCACCAAATTTTTTTTAGTAAAATGATATTATTGATTTGATAACTTTGAGGTGTATATACGAAAAATATATGAATTTGTAGAGAATTTAATTGTGAATCTAACAGGTATTCAAAGTTGAGTTAAATTGAAAAATAAAAAAATTATCGATAAATTAGTGTAAAATATTTTAGTTCGGATTGTTGTAGGTGAAAGTAGGTGATAATTTTATTAGATTATAGCTTCAAGTATATAAAACGATAGGTAAACGACAGGGGAGTATACTGATATATATATTGATTGTATTGAGGGTAGTTACAGGGTATTTAACTATGTATTAGTGGTATAGTTATGAGTTAATTTTTTTTTTTTTGATGGGAGTGTGCGAATTTTTCAGGGGGAGAGACAGGGGCGAAATTTTGGCGGCATTCAGTTGGAAAATAGCCGCCCCCTCGAAGAGGGAGGTGGCGGTGGGGAAAGAGGGGTGATGGGGAGAGGTTGATCAATTTTTGTCGAAATTTTGGCAGCATTCAGTAGGGAGATAGCTACCCCCTCGAAGAGGAGGGTGGCGGTGGTGAAATTTTGGCGGCATTCAGTTGGAAAATAGCCGCCCCCTCGAAGAGGGAGGCGGCGGTGGGGGAGAGAGGGTGGAGAGTAGGGAGAGAGGGTAGCTGGTTGATTTTTGTCGAAATTTTGGCGGCATTCAGTCGGGAAATAGTCGCCCCCTCGAAGAGGGAGGCGGCGGTGGGGGAGAGAGGGTGGGGAGAGTGGGGGAGAGAGGGGAGAGAGAGGGGAGAGAGTGGTTGGTTGATTTTTGTCTCTCCCCTGTCTCCGTGTGCTTAATTAATTTAAAATATTTCCAAGCCACTATGGAGACAAAATTTCAACAAAAATCAACCAACCACTCTCTCCCCTCTCTCTCCCCTCTCTCCCCCACTCTCCCCACCCTCTCTCCCCCACCGCCGCCTCCCTCTTCGAGGGGGCGACTATTTCCCGACTGAATGCCGCCAAAATTTCGACAAAAATCAACCAGCTACCCTCTCTCCCTACTCTCCACCCTCTCTCCCCCACCGCCGCCTCCCTCTTCGAGGGGGCGGCTATTTTCCAACTGAATGCCGCCAAAATTTCACCACCGCCACCCTCCTCTTCGAGGGGGTAGCTATCTCCCTACTGAATGCTGCCAAAATTTCGACAAAAATTGATCAACCTCTCCCCATCACCCCTCTTTCCCCACCGCCACCTCCCTCTTCGAGGGGGCGGCTATTTTCCAACTGAATGCCGCCAAAATTTCGCCCCTGTCTCTCCCCCTGAAAAATTCGCACACTCCCATCAAAAAAAAAAAAAATTAACTCATAACTATACCACTAATACATAGTTAAATACCCTGTAACTACCCTCAATACAATCAATATATATATCAGTATACTCCCCTGTCGTTTACCTATCGTTTTATATACTTGAAGCTATAATCTAATAAAATTATCACCTACTTTCACCTACAACAATCCGAACTAAAATATTTTACACTAATTTATCGATAATTTTTTTATTTTTCAATTTAACTCAACTTTGAATACCTGTTAGATTCACAATTAAATTCTCTACAAATTCATATATTTTTCGTATATACACCTCAAAGTTATCAAATCAATAATATCATTTTACTAAAAAAAATTTGGTGAAAAAAAAAAAAAAAAAAAAAAAAAAAAAAAGGGGGAGAGAGAGGGGAGAGAGGGGAGAGAGAGGGGAGAGAGAGGGGAGAGAGAGGGGAGAGAGAGAGAGGGGGAGAGACCCCTCTCTCTCCCCTGTCTCTCCCTCTCTCCCCCCTTTTTTTTTTTTTACATACTATTTTCAATAATCTTTAACATATCAAATAACAAGTAAAATAATCGTTTATATTTATAAAAAACATATCAAAATGTAGCTAATACACTTGGCTATCATATAAATAATAATATATTAATTTATCACATCGATTTAATACTTAAAATATCGATTTACTATTTTTAGGAAAAAAAATAAATAAAAAAAATTAACTCATAATTATACCACTAATACATAGTTAAATACCCTGTAACTACCTTCGATATAATCCATATATATATCATTATATTCTCCTGCCATTTACCTATCGTTTTATATACTTGAAGCTATAATCTAATAAAATTATCACCTACTTTCACCTACAACAATCCGAACTAAAATATTTTACACTAATTTATCGATAATTTTTTTATTTTTCAATTTAACTCAACTTTGAATACCTGTTAGATTCACAATTAAATTCTCTACAAATTCATATATTTTTCGTATATACACCTCAAAGTTATCAAATCAATAATATCATTTTACTAAAAAAAATTTGGTGAAAAAAAAAAAAAAAAAAAAAAAAAAAAAAAAAGGGGGGAGAGAGAGGGGAGAGAGGGGAGAGAGGGGAGAGAGAGGGGAGAGAGAGGGGAGAGAGAGGGGAGAGAGAGGGGAGAGAGAGAGGGGGAGAGAGACCCCTCTCTCTCCCCTGTCTCTCCCTCTCTCCCCTTTTTTTTTTTTTTTTTACATACTATTTTCAATAATCTTTAACATATCAAATAACAAGTAAAATAATCGTTTATATTTATAAAAACACATCAAAATGTAGCTAATACACTTAGCTATCATATAAATAATAATATATTAATTTATCACATCGATTTAATACTTAAAATATCGATTTACTATTTTTAGAAAAAATTAAAAAAAAAAAAATTAACTCATAACTATACCACTAATACATAGTTAAATACCCTTCAAATACCTTAAATACAGTCCATATATATATCATTATATTCCCCTGTCGTTTACCTATCGTTTTATATACTTGAAGCTATAATCTAATAAAACTATCACCT